TGAAGCTGGAGATAACTTATCAATTATTAAATTGTTAGGTGGTTTGTTAAATTTTTAATAAATCCGCTGTGTATAATATAAGTATGCAAGCTCTTATGTATTAATAAAATATTATTATTTATATTAAAATTTTACACAATAAAAATATACACAAAAATACACAAAAAAATAAAAAATATTACGCAAAATATTACACATTAAAAATATTACAAAATAATAAAAAAGCGTAATAAGTAGAGTATAAGTGGAAGGGAGGTGTTGGTATTGAAGGGGGTAGATTAGGTTAAAATTCCTTGTTTTTGTTCCGATCTTGAGATAAACATACCCGAAGGTGAAATTGTAACGGACCCTTTTGGGTATATCAGCACAGCTTGATCAACATCAATGTATTTATTGGTTTATTACTATTGTAGTCCCTTGAGTTTTAACATGATTCGAATTAAACATTGAATTTTATTTATTATTGAGAGCAAAATTCTATTTTAATCGAAGCTTTTTCAGGTGAAAGCAAATGCTCAAAACCATTTCCTCACATTTCACTTCCCAATTTTCTGATGAGTATGAAATTTCTGGGTGCCTTACGACAAGAACTGGACAGGACGCGTTATCGTCGCATTGAGAATGACCTGTATTCACTTAACCAGACCGATGATTTGGCCAATTATGATGCAGCAAAGTTTCCAAACCTGGTAAAATTCAGGTATCACAATTTATGCTTATCTTGTAATATAAGTAGGCCCAGGCCAAGTGACAGAGAGGGGACGGGTGAAGGGTGGAAAGGAGGAAAGCAAAAAAAAAAAAGGCAACTACCAAAATTCGGCTCAGCTCGGCTCGGGTCAGCATGAAATACAAGTGGATGCATCGTAGATATGAGCATATGAAAGTATCGATTTTATCGAGGTGTATTTGCATGCCATTTTCAGCTGTGCAGGGCTATTTGGAATGTATTACCACCGTCATTGGTGAATCCAGGGGAGGGGTTTTTCGCTCCTTACCTCCAGGGACTCAGGTAGCAGCTGTTTTACTGTAGAAAACTCTGTTCAATACCCTGTGACATCTCTCCTCGCCCCTTCTTCTCTCCACCGCCCTCCCGCCCCGTCTCTTCCGGTATAGTGACGAACAGAAGGAAGGGGGAGGAAAATCGTCCTCACCCAGGAGACCGCTCTGGAATCGTCTGTGATCACCGTGCACATGATGTGTATTTGAATCACCTAAAATTATCCATAGTTTCTTTCGCGAGCTATGCAATTCCTATTCAGGTTTTTATTCCGAAACATTCCTATTCAGGTTTTTATTCCGAAACATTCCTATTCAGGTTTTTATTCCGAAACATTCCTATTCAGGTTTTTAATCCGATTTATCTTATTCACCTTCCTTTTATGGCCTTACTTTTAAACCCTTACTTTTTACATAAACACACATCATCTAAAATTAAAATTACAATAGCGGTTTTTCTAGTCACCTGTGCCAATGCTGCATCACCTTGTGGTCAGACTAGAGGCGATTCTTGCATCTGATTGGTCTCCTGAAAGGATTACCAGCTCAGTGGTTCTCCTAGTGAAAACCGTTGGCTACTTGTTTTAGTCCTTTCAGAATATCCTTGGCGCATATGCTCAGCAAAACTACCTAGTTGTTTTTTTTTTTTTTTTTTTTTTTTTTT